CTGGGCGCTTCGGGCGAGCGCCTAGGTAAACCAAGTGACCAAACCAGGATTTTAGGTCTGGTTCGGTCCTGGTTCGGTTGTTAGTTGGTTCAATCGAACCAACTAAACCGATATAACCCTTACCCAACCCTAACCCGCTGCCGCTGCCGCTCCCGATCTCGCTGCTCGTCGCTCCTGCTCCCGCTGCCGCTGCTCGCGCCTCCCGCGAGCTCTCCAACTGCTCGCGCCTCCCGCGAGCCCTCCCGCTGCTCGCGACTCCCGCGAGCCCTCCCGCTGCTCGCGCCTCCCGCGAGCCCTCTCACGAGCCTTCCCACTGCTCGCGACTCTCGCTGCTCGCGCCTCCCGTGAGCCCTCCCGCGAGCCTTCCCTCTGCTCGCGACTCCCTGCTCGCGCCTCCAGCGAGCCCTCCCAGCTGCTCGCGGCTCCCGCGAGCCCTCCCGTGAGCCTTCCCTCTGCTCGCGACTAGAATTTTTATTTAAAATAGCATATTTTTATTTAAAATTTTAAATAATTATATTTATTAATTATATTATATATTTTTATATTTTAGCGCCTCGCTTCGCTCGGGCGAGCGCCTAGCGCCTCGGGCGTTTTTGGACCTTGGCGCCTTTTGGCGCCTAGCGCTTCTTAAATCATTGGTTGTGGGCGCGCGATGATCATCAATAATAGAGTGGTAGACTTATCATTCTGTACAGCTCTATCTCAGTAACAATAAGCGAACAACTCGGTATGCCTAATAACATTAGCCCACTAGATGGCACGCTCAATGTTGAACCAGATAAAGCAAAATTGCTTAGCCCACAAACACTTATGAAGCCAATATATATTTTTGTCTAAAAGTTATATAATTGTGATCTCATAATCAAGGATCTAAATCTCAAACCAATACCAAGTTGGTAATGGGTCAAACTAGTACAGTGCCAATAAACTAGAGGGTATATCGGCTTGTACCCTCTAGTAACAAAGAAAAGAATAACAGTATATAAATATCAATCAGTAGTGACATAGATGGTATGTTATCAAACCATGGTCGAATTGATAATTATTGATCAATGTGTAACTTCACATCGTCAATGTTGATCACAAGCCCGGATGGAAAAGGCAAAGGGTTGCTTTAGGTCACTGACAACCAACATAAAACTACATCAGATCTCATGAACATGGATGTTATCCAATTTCAATATATGGCTACGTCGTCACTAAAAACCGACATAAGACACCCCTGCCATCTAGGTATCTTGAATCGCAAACAGTAAGGTAGGAGGTTGCTCAAAAATGGCTTATCACATCGGCACCCGAATGTGGTGCAAAGTAGGCAAGGGTTCTCATTGTTTTGGACCAATGCGAGTAAAGAAGTTAATCCAAGAATAGAGAATTAGGTCAATAACTTTGAATATAGGAACAATTTCGGAAATGGGAGTCGAATTGATAGGCATTGATCAGTAGAAGAATAAACATTATTTTCTTACAAAAGATCAAGTAGGTTGGAGAAACGGTAACAGTCGGTCCGCGTACCGAAAACCTATCGGACCGGTATGTACCGCCCATACCGGGCGGTACGGCTCGGTACGGCAGACCCCGATAAGAAGAGCTACAGGAATACCTAAAAAAACTTCAAAAGGAATTATAAACAAAAATTTAAATACTCTTAACTTAATTAATCATATAGATTTTAATGGATCTCAACAGTGATAGAAGATATAAGTAGGTGACCCTAGATAGTTAAGACTTTATGGTTTTGTTATTGTTGATGCACCTTACCAACTAAAATATGATTCCTTGCTCATAGTTGCATCCTTCTTACAAGTAAATAATTTTATGTTGGAACGAATTAATATTGATTCATCAATCATGTAAGTGCTATTTAGTAGAGGGTGTGGCTTAAATTATAAACTTCAAAAAAACAACCATTGCAAACTCCAAAGGAAATAGACATAAAATATTACCTCTACTTGAAAGCAATGAAAGGTCATGACCCATGTTTACAATGAAACACTATTGTATTAGAAAACTAAATCTAAAAATATATTCATAATAGAAGTGTCCTAGAGCAGAAAAGTTGTCATTGAAAAGCTCAGGAGGCTTATGCAATGATCAACATTAGAAAGTACATGCTCATTTGGGTTACTAGGTGTTACCTTAAAGAAAGTCTAATCCAACCATCAAGATAAACCTAATAGCTGCAGTGGTTCATTGAGATTCATGACAGCACAACCTTGATGGTACACCCAAGATATTGATGATGGGAGCTAGTGGCCAGATGTGTTCATCAATAAAATCTAGTTGGCAATAAAGTACCTTAGAATGTTCTATATTTATCATTACACAAGTTACTGTCAGTAAATACTTGCATTAATTGGACCTGGGGAGCACATCAAGGACATTAATGATAGCTAACATAAAGGATAACCATAAAATCTATCTCCTTTACTAATAGAGGAATGAAGGAGCAAAAGAGTGAGAGCAAAAGAATAATTACAGAGAACGAAAATCCCAAATGCATCTATGCGTAAGTATCCTGAAAGGTCTAAGTTTCATTCTGTTCTCTTCGGTTCTAACACTAATCTACTGTGACATGATGAACATGTCTTTGATTTCCTCTCTGTGCACCTAGATCTTCTACAATATGCTATGAACAATCTTCCTGCAGATAGTCTTCTTGTACAAATTAGAATTTTACTGATGAATCCTCTGTCATGTACTTTTATAGGAATTGGAAACAAGCATTATGGGAAAAAATTGACAGCACATGCTAGACAAAACCAATAAAGGAGAAATTATGTGGGTAAAGAATGCAAAACCTCAAAAAATTAATGCACCAGCTTGTTTAGCACATTGGATGTATATATAGGCAATTAACTAAGACCAATCTGAACTTGCAATTATTGCAGTCGGGAAGTATTTTAAATTTTATTAATGCGTCCAAAATGCTATCAGCCTTTACAACAGCAGCCACTTTAGCCACAGGATAGGCAGCCCCTCAAGGAAAAATTTTGGCTGGTGCATATGTTGTTGCATTGCAATAAAAATAAATTGAACTAGAAAAGCACTTTCTTAATAACTAGGCAAGACCATCATATTAAATAGAAATTCTGGGAGAAAATGTGATTGAACTTACTAGCTTCTGCCAGAGACCATCAGTTACAAGGAAGGGGAAATTTTGTTTCTATTATTATAATAAAAATAACAAGAGTTCACATAAATGTAGAAGAAATCTTTTTACCATAGTCAGTGAGTCTGATTCTGAAACACGTTGAAATGCATGCATAGCATGAGGTAGTTCTAGAGGTAGAATTGGATCACAAGAACCTTCCTTTGGCACTCGCATTCTCATAATAATATGCCAGCTGATGATGCATGAAGAACGATGCAATTTAAATTGAGTTTTGAACCTCAGAAAATATTATCAAGCATAACATTTAACAAGATTTTCCATCAATATTGTACAACTTAAATCTAGTTAGGAAAAGAAAGGTAAACCACCTCAAGATTAAAAGGAAAAGAAAAACAAAACTATTAGATTACATTGTCAAGATATTCCACATATGTCTATCAAGTTGTTAAAATAATGTTAATAATAGTGCAAAAAGGGAAAATAGGTTGTGCAATGTGTTGAAAGCCGGTCAGCATCCTTTTGGAGATAGATATTACCATTCAAATCTGTAACTATCAGATATCCATGTTCAGTACCAAATTTGATATTCAAAGGTTTCCAAATAAGGATATGAAAATGTGTAAATCTTGGACTGAAGATAAAAATTCATGAAAAGGTAAAATTAATCAATGAAAAATAAAGCCACTTGACTAGTTGTTCTAAGCTGCTTAAGAATTTAAATTTGAGTCTTTGCAAATCTAACTCGGTGCCTTAACTAATTAAGGTTAACATGTTTCTATCAAATGATTTATGCTTGAATGACATCTCATGACAACATCTATAATTGTTCCATGACCACAAGTGGATACAAGTTAGTATTTATTTATATACATCCTATTTTCATCCCTAGGTAGTGGCAAACTAAGAACCTGCAATTTTCAAGGAGCATATCAACAATTTAAAAACAAATATCAATGCTGGTAATATAAATCTGACTATACAAGAACCAAACCACTTGATCTTGTCAGGTTCACTATGCTGGGGAGTGAAAATGGCAATGTACACATGGTAGACATAAGATCTTAAATGCTCAAGCAACATTCATCATCTAGTGTAGTATGACCAAGAAAATCAATCGATGTCGCCATCTTAGAAATGAAATCAAAATTCCATGTAATTTAGAGTTCACATATTTGCTTACTCATGGATCTAATACTCAAAGATGGCTTATTACCATACAGCGTGATACAGCCAGTTAGACAAGCAGCTGATGCTCAAACCATAGGAGGAATACCTCTCAGTGTTGCTAATTTCAGATGCCACTCAAAGTGACCAAGCCAACATTTAAATGTTTTCCAATCAACTCCAAGCAATAACATTTGAAAAAAATAAAAAATAAAAAAGATCATATTTATCCCATTATAATGAATATTTATAGGAGTAGAAAACATAGATTATGATAATAATTCTACATTGAAGTTGGGACTCATTCCAACACAAGCTAAAACCTACATAAAATCAAAGCTACAAGTTAGAAAACCAATATCATCATTGGGATCTTCTTTTCTTGAACCATTCAAATTCCTTCTACTACAAGGTGGAGAATTTTGCATTCTTCAGGAGATTTAATTCATCATTTGGTTGCAAAACTTGAATGGACTGTTGTGGGTAAACCTCAACATTTCTCCTTCATCCATGGCGAGGATTGTTGAAACAAATAAGAAAAACAGATCCCACAGTGTCAGGACAGCCTGACCTTTGGTCAATAAAAACATATCTCAATCAACAAAGTCAGAATTACGATCCCTCCTTTCCTGGAAAGTAGAATCAAAGGGATTTCCAGTGTCAAACAGTTCACCAACTAGTCTTTTCTACTAAATCAATTTAAACCAAGTATGTTCCAGTTTGCCTTCAGGATAGCATAAGCCAACTGAAGCACTAACACCAATTTTGATGCAGTCCAGTTAGATCCACACCTGATGCAAAGAAAATCGAGAAGAAAAAGCAAGGGATAATTCTCGGATGTGACTCGACCAGGGCCATTGGATTCCATTCAATGTCTCTAATCAAAGATGCCACTCAATGCAAACAAGCTGCTGCTTAATTTTTTAGAAGGACCCTATCATATCCAAGCAAGAACACTTGCAAATATAAATTTTGGAAATGCTAAAAGACCCTTTTTTATTTCATTTCTCATGGATAGTTACGGGACTAGCAAAGTTTCAGTCATGACAAATCTCAATGTAAGTCGGAACACATTCAATGCAAGCAACAAGTCTCAAAAAGTTCAGAATAAACTTCCAAAACATTAGAAAGCGCAACTTACTAATAAGACTCCAATTAGTCATACATGCAAATTAAAGATTCCATCTACTTAAAAAGGGATATCCTAGCGCATGAGCCTCCTACAAATGCAGGATGTGAGAAGGGTCAATGTTCATAACCTCAACACTACAAGCAGATAGGCTATTTTCATTAGAGGCTCCAGCTACTAATGCAAGTAAACTCTGAAAATAAGCTAAATAACATTCTTGGCTCAAAATATGATACACATAATTATGTTTATGCCCCTGAATCATAAGACATTTATGATCCATGTTGCTAATTATGGACTCTGCTATTTAGATGGATTGTATCACCCCAAGATCAGTCAGAAATGATGTCACCTCTTGCAGAGCTATGAGTGATGTGTTGTTTGCCATGTCAGGTCTGTGAGAGACCACATACAGTCCACCTAAATATCTATTTCCGTAAATTATTGTCCTTTCTTGTAGGTAAAGAGAAAAACAATTAGCTGAAAATTGAGAATACACTAGCAAGATTGGTACTTCTATTTGTTTGAAAGCATCTAGTTCGTCAAAATATGAAAAGCTGACAACTGCATCTAATGATGTTCAAAAGTGATGATGGAGGCAATGCAAGTCACAAGATCCAATCATGCAGCAAACAGGAAATGTACAGAAAGAAGATAATGAACTGATAAGGCAAATTTCATTATCTTAGATAAAAAATCTGCCTACTCAAGAACAGTATATGACTTGCCTATCAATCTTCATTTCTCTTGCCTTCATGACTTGCTCTAGAAATGACTTGACAGACTGACAGTCTATCCCAGGATTCCTCATTCCCTACAAGTGAATTTGAAATGCAACTCAACAACTGGCCTTTCAATCATGTGTCATGTTAATTAAAGAAATAATTCGTCACAGGACCAACTTATCTGAAATTCAAACATAACATCTGAAAATAAATAAACACATTTGTGTATAACTGCACAGTGAAGCAGCTAATATATACGTATATTAGCATACAATAGGAACAATCTTTTATATTTGAATGTCTCTGGCTTGCTATGAAATTATATTAAATAAAAGCAAAGCAAAGAATGTATCAATATGTGTATATAAACTCTAAGTTATAAAAAATCAAGATTTTGGAATTTTTTTATGAAAGTCGTAGCTCTCGCATGATGCATCGATCAGCCAAGCAACTGCATGCCATCTGAAAAGCCTATATGAAAACAACTGAAGTGGTTAATTGGTATAAAAGAATAAGCTTTTACATAATCTGACTCGAGTCGCTTGGATTGAGTGTGTCAAACCAAAACCATGTGATTTAGCATTATGTTTGGGCTAAAGCCCAAAGATGTAAGTTTAGAAAGAAAACACAAGGAATAAAAACAGCACTTTATAAAGAACAACGTAGACAAAATTGAAAGCAGTAATCAGCATAGAGAGAAGAAAGCAAACTTGGGTCAGTTGGCCCATAAAAAGATGAATTATTTCTTCAAAAAATTTATGTTTGTTTCATTGAGTGATTTAAAAAGCGCTAGGCGCCAAAAGGCGCCAAGGTCCAAAAACGTCCGAGGCGCTAGGTGCTCACCCAAACGAAACGAGGCGTTAAAATATAAAAATATATAATATAATTAATAAATATAATTATTTAAATAAACATATGATATTAAATTAAAAAATCTTACAAAATCACAATATCACATTAACAAAAAAATCTCAAAATTCAAAACAATAACAATAATTTTAAATAAATAAAAATTAGCAGTATTAAAATCAAAATAATATATTATTAATATAATAAATAAAAAAATATTATTACTAGTATACAGTTAACAGTATATTGTTAATATATTGTTAACAGTATACTATCGAGTCGATGTGAGAAGAGGTAGCAGTGAGCAGCGGGAGAGGCGAGTGACGATAGTGGCAGCGACAGCGGCAGCGGTAGCAGCGATAAGCGGTAGCGGGAGCGGAAGCGGCGCGCAATGACAGTGGAAGCGGCAGCGGTAGCAACGAGCAGCGGGAGCAGGAGCAACAAGCGGTGATGGTGGCAGCGGTAGCGGCAGCGATAGCGATAGCGAGAGCGGCGAGCAACGATAGTGGCAGCGGTAGCAACGAGCAGCTGCAACAGTAGTAGTAGCAGCGAGCAATGGCAACGGTAGCAGCGAGCAGTGGCAGCGGCGACAGTGGCAGCGGCAACGACGAGCAGGGTTAGGGTTGGGGAAGTCGCGAGAGGGATGTTGGGAGGTTGATATCGGTGCTTTAGTTGGTTCAATCAAACAAACTGAAGCACTAGAGACCGAACCAAACGTAAAACACTGGTTCAATCGCCTGGTTTAACTCGGGTGCTCGCCCAAAGCGCCCGGTGCCTGGGCTTAGGTGAGCGCCTAAGCGGCGCCTCTTTGAAGCGAGGCGCCTGGACATGAAGCGAGGTGCTCGGGCCTCGCCTCGCCTTGCCCGAGCTCCTAGGCGAGCGCCCGAGCACCTATTGAAATCGCTAGTTTCATTAATTCACAATACCATACATAAATATTGATAATATTTCATTCAGAATCCAAAAAATACAGAAAAACATATCTTTTCTTTTGTTGGACAACTTAAACGATTTTGTTAGTTTAATCAGAGGTTTCCTTTAGGAGTGGTTTACTTCTTTTCTCTTTATATAAATAACTGACACATCTGAGACTCCAAAATTTTCTCCAAATGCATCCTAACAATTATGATAACCTAAAAATACAAAACTAACATTAATTCAATCTAATCATAATTCTCTAAATAAATAATTAAAGAGAATGGTAGCAAGACACTGAAAAACAAAATACACAATTGAGTTGACCCAATAAATACTTGATATCCAACCTAAGCACCTCAAGTCAGAAACTTTTAAGTCAATAAGATCACCCTTATGCAAATATTATCCTTTGAGATTTCACTTATTGCAATGATGCAATGCCAGTCTAGTTCAATCCTTTAATGTGCCTCAGCTGCACATTTAATATGGACTTAATGTAAATATTATTTTCATTAACATGTTTTATAGTGTTAACCTCGATTGTCCAATAAAGAGATTCAAAAATGAGAAGAATATGGCTCAAAATAGGATGAATGAAGATAAGTTAAAGCGAGAAAGATGTAGGAAAATGAAAAGATTCAATCCTAAGAATTTCTGTACTTTCTTTGATGCCAATTGAGAAAATACAAAGCTGCGTGGTGGTCAAAAACTATAATCTGTACTAGAATATATATATATATATATATATATATATATATATATATATATATATATAGATAGCAACAAATAGCTGAAACAATATAACACAAGATAACTGAAAATAACCAAAGATATACATATTGGATTTAATTACATAAAGAGCAGGAGTGGATTAAAAGCAAAAGAAATACTCATCAAGTACAAAAAGAGCAACTTATACCATCTGGCTTAAGAAAAAACTCTTTTAACAAAAAAATCATCATATTTTAACCATGGACTCAAGACAAGATAAATATTTAAATAGATAAAAACAAACATTTTGCTTTTTTGTATCTGTTTATTATCTTATATTTTGGATATATTGAATCTATACTTTCAGTACTCCGTGACATAAACAAGCCAAAGCTGACTAAAATAGAATCCAACCTAAACAAATTGCTCCCTCTATGACTATATATATTAATATAATATGTGACTAAAAATTGGACAACAAAAGTTCCAGAAAAGTAGAAACAAAATAACTCAATTGACTTGACCTAAGACATGATGTCAACAGTACCTACAATTGACTCAACCCTCAATTCAACTTATTTAAACTAGACTAAGTGTTAGACACCTGGACCAGATTATATCATAGGACACCCTCAATCAATATTGCATATGCTCCAAAGTAAAGAATCTTCATGTGCATTGAGAGTAAAAAAAGTCCCTAAATAAGATGGACACAAAGAAAAATTTTGCTTTATCACCCACCCAGCCAAATGAAAACGGAATGTTGTTCCCAGTTCCTAATGGCACTGTTATGATAGGAGGTGGTCGAGCAAGTCTAAGATCACAAACCACTCCAAGAAGCCAACTTGCTGTACCATCTCCACCTGCAACCTAATCAAGCAAACCTAAATCAAAGGCAAGTCGAGAAAACTTAAAAAATGTAAATTCATACATCAATGACAACAATTTCACCTACATATAATGAAAGTTGGAAAGAATGGAAGGCTAGGTACTACTCCTGGACATTATACTACTCACTATTAGTCTCAACCTATTCAGAATTTCAGCAGCAAGATGATCTCCATTTGACTTGAATTTCTCCAGATTGCCATAAAGCTTATGCAACACCTTGTCGGGAGCTTCCTCTTTCAAGTTGAAAACCTGGAAATTACATTCTTTGCAAGTAAAATAGACTGATAAATTTCACATGTATCAGTATCTCTAGGCATAAAATTAAGCACCTGAAGTTTGTTAAGAAGATTGCAGTATGTCGCAAGCAAAGCACTTCCAAGCTGGCCGCCACTTTTGGTGTTAATGAAGACCACAACAGGACAACTCGGCACAAATGAAGGATGCCTTGTAGGTAACTCAGGAAGAAATATGTAACTAGGGATATAGAACTCCTTCAGAAATTCATCCTTCTCAGGACTAAAGTTATCCATCCTACAACCTGATACGTGACATATGAAGAAAATTTTATCCTCAAAAAATTAAATTCAAATAATAAAAGCAGTTATTGGTACTATCTGATGACTAAAACCAAATGCTAGCATGATGCCAATTGGGTTGATACAAAATATTCAATGATACTTTGATTATCTCCTTCAAACGAAAGGAAGATTTTGTCAATGATAATCGGTAATTCACCCACAAACAAAATATTAATTTTTATTTTTTCTAAGATAGGAAAAAGATATTGTTCGGTTCAACACCACATCATAGGTGACTAGAGAGAAACTAACTAAGCTAATTCCATATATCTACAGTCGTACAACAAAAAATGAAGTTAGAGTGACCTAATTAATAAGAACAAAACATCTATGCGACGGAAGGATGCAATGAAATAGCCTTTTCAAATTCAATCTCTCCATCGATCACTTGAAACAACAAACCGAACATCTCAAACAAGAAAACCACATAAAGAAGCCCCAGAATCCTAAAATAAAAATCAGACCATGATCCATCAATTTCTTGCTAAGGAGACAACTAAACCGAAAAGATCTACTTTCCTTTCCATCAACCACTTCCAACGAGAAACAGAAACTCACCTGCAGAAACTACAGCGTCATCATAAGTCTCGAAGCTCTTAACCTAATCTTGAAAAGAAATCCAAATTTTAGAAAGCAACAATAAGCGACTTAAACACTAAACAGAACTTATGCGAGACGGGTCCGGGAGACGCACACCCGAGAATCATTCGAAGAGGGAACAAAACGAAATCGGTCTCCGTTACGCGATTCCTTCCCCCGCTATAAATGTTGTGCAAAACAGGGGAAAGGATGGATTCAAACTGATCGTGCCTTCAAAATGCGAGAAGGGGCGACGCCAAAAGATGTAACTTTACAATGTTTCCAGGTTGGGTACGGATCGCCAAATATTCTCCGGTGACGCTATCAATGCACGAACATGATGGGCCCCGCACAGACCTTTGAATCAGTACCGTCTAATCTTAATGGCGTCGGGGCAAAGCAAAGTGAAGAATCCGGATTCGCGGATGCTCCAAATTCGAACAAAGGATCCGCCGTTTGATAACGGGCAAAGGATATTGGTCGGACGGCTGCATTGCGGGTACTTGGCAATAACTAAATGGCCTGGTCTCCTGTCGTGATGGACGAATGATCTTTGGGTTAAGAAATCAGGAAATTAGGAACACCTGTGATCGACAGATGGGAGGGATAGATCGGCTTAGGTATAAAGCTAGTGAAAAGAGTTCAACGTACGTGCGGTGAATGACCCCCCATGAATGTCAAAATTTGCACAGGCACAGGGAACGACCGTCGAATAATAGCAGGCACATGGTCGTGATTGATGTAAATAAAAATAAAGATAGCAGGCACATAGTTTTGACTTAATACAAGAAATATGTAAATATTATCCGGACAATAATAATTTAGGATATTTTATCAAATAAAACTCATGATGATTATTTTTAATCAGATTGTACTCCTCATAAATCATTTTTTTCTTAGATTTTTTTTTCATAAATATCAATATCATTCTCATAGAATTTTTAAACTAGTTTGGGTTAATGAACCGATTGTGCTCCTCCTCTAACTCCGGTCTCCTGTCTCCTGTCTCCTCCCTCTCTTCTTCTTCTTTTTCTTTTTTTTTAATGATTTAGTCATAAAAATTTTTGTTGACTTAAAAATATATTAAAATATACTTATTTTAAATTTTATTAAAAAATATTCATTTTTATATAAATTGATCATTAATTCTTTATTAAATGAAAAATTATAATAATTTTTTTTCTACAATGAAGTTTTAATAGAACTCTAAAAAATTGAGATGATTTGATCGAATCGATCATATTATGTTCAATAATTATTTAAAATACACTTACTCTTAGAATCTATCTAAAAAATCTAAGTTTCAATAATTAACTATTTTATTTTTTCTAAAAATTATAAAAAAAATATTACTAATGATGTTAGAATGATATCCTACAAAATTGGTAAAAGCTTCAAATGGTTTAGTTGAAGCTGCTCTTGTTACTCAAAAATAAACTAAAGTTCACAAATTCTAAATAAAAAAAATTTAAAGTTTAACAATTATTTATCCCAAAATCCTCTAAATCATTGTTTAGCAAAGTGGTGAACGTTTGAAATGATTTAGTCAAAGTTGACTTATTTCACCCAAAAATAATTAAAATAACTCGTTCAGAAAACCTATTAATAATAATTTTAGGATGATGTATCATTAGATTGGTAATTATTTGAGATGGTTTGATTGAAGTTGACAAAATTAGGCTCAAAGATAAACTAAAATAAACTCATTCATATAGCCTATCCAAAAAATCTAAAGTTTGATAATTATTTATCTTAAGATTTTATAAAAATAAACAAGTGTTACTAATGATATTAAAATTATGTCCTCGTAGAGTGGTGGATGTTCGAGCTAGTTTTGTTAAAATCGATCTTGTTACACTCCAAAATAAACTAAAATAAATTTATTCACAAATCGTATCTAAAAATTTTTAAATTTGATAATTAATTATCCTAAAATTCTCATAAAATAAAAAATTATTACTAATAATGTTATAATGATGTACTAGTGGAATAATAAAAGTTTGATCTGGTTTACCTGATGTTGATTTTGTTATAATTGAAAATAAATTAAAATACACTCATTCATAAAATTTATTAAAATTTTTAATTTTTAATAATTATATAACCTAAAATACTATAAAAATTTAAAAAATTTACCTATAATGTTAGAATAATATCCTATTAGAGCAACGAAAATTTGGAATGGTACGGCCGAGGTTAACTCTATTACGCTGAAGATAAATTAAAATACACTCGTTTACATAACATAACAAAAATATCTAAATTTTGATAATTAATTATATTAAAATATTTTAAAAATAAACAAATAGTACTAATGATGTTGGAATGATGTCCTCTTAGATTATATTGAAAATTTGAGATGTTTTAATTAAAGTTGACTTTATTACGTTTGAAAATAAATTAAAATATACTCGTTTATAAGACCCATCTTACTGACAATTTTGTAGTCGAGTGTATTTCGTGAGCTTTATCTAAAATACTTTAAACTTATACATCTGCATCTACATTTAATATGATATTCATTTATGTTTTTTTTCTCATTTCTAGAAAATTTTATGAGAACTATAATTTGAATTTTAAAAGAATTTTTTGGAGGAAGAATTGGAGGTGCAAAAGAGAGAAGGTAAAGCAAACCGATGAGAGGGAGTTGTCACTCCCCAAAATAGCATTCTGGAGACGTGAACCTATAAACAAAATATTTTTAACTATGTCCATAATTCAAACCTATAACCTATAAACAACGTATGTAGATTATAATCATTCAATATATCACTTAGTAACTTTATAAAACTTGAAGCCAATTAAAAATTTATTAATAACCACTTATAAACTCATAAGATTAATGAAACATCATAATAGTAAACTAACATTTACCACAAGTTCACATCAACATAAAAACTTTAGATTTAACATTCTAAACATCCAGAGGTATTCTAACATTTACAACAACACACACTAGTTAGGATTCTTTGGATAACATTTCATGCAAAATGTTCTTTTACAATCATATCATGTTAAACCACCAGAGACTTGCCATAAACTTTTAGTAGTCTACTGCCCTAGTCTAGTCTAAACCCAACACGAGTGTGAGCAACAAGCTAATATTAAATATTTATATAGCAACAATATAAGTTATAAAGCTTACCAAGCAGCTATCATATTGATGGCATAGGGATGATAAGTCATATGACAAAGATTAAGATATAAAGCATAAATTCAAAAGTCCTAATTAGCATTTCATATGATTCATACTTAACAAGGAGCAAAAAAAAAAAAAATGCAAATCAAAATCAGAAGGCATGAGCTCAATAGTCATATTAGTCATTTGATTTTATTTCATTGATATCAAAGGAGTATATAACAACATATGATCTAATCAAGATCAAAATATAAGTCACGATCCCAAGTGTCATGTTTGATATTTCATTTAATTCATTATTAACAAAGGAGCAAATAATAATATATGAGCATATCAAGGTTAAAATGCAAGGTATGATATTAAGAGTAGAGTCAAAATTATCATTTTATTTGATTCTATTATATCAAAGGAGCATATGGCATTATATAAGCAGATCAAGATCAAAGTACAAGGCATGATCTCAAGAGTCACGTTTGACAATTCATTCAATACATTGATAACAAAGGAGTAAATGGTAACATATGAGTATATGAAGATCAAGATGTAAGAGATGATCCCCATAATAGAGTCATAATTATCATTTCATTTGATTTTATTGATTATCAAAGGAACATATAATAGCATACGAGCAAATCAAGCTCAAAATACAAGGCATGTTCAAGAGTTATATTTGATATTTTACTCAATTCATTGATAACAAAATGATAAATGACAATATATGAGCATATCGAAGTTAAAATACAAGGCATGATCTCAAGAGTAGAGCTAGAATTGTTATTTCATTTGATTCCATTAATATCAAATGAGCATATAACAACATATAATCATATCAAGGTCAAAAAATAGGATATAAGTTTAAAAGTAGAATTATATTTGATATTCATTTCATCTACCCATTTATGGGTGTCCACAAGTCTCCCATGTTTGGGAGCTTTAGCCACCCAAGTTTGGATGTTAGGGTTGGCAAGAGCATCACAAGCTCTAAATATAACTTCTTTTTTTTATTTTTAATACAAATTTATATTATCTCATAAATATTGAAATATAATAAAGATATTTTGATTAAAAATGGAACATATCGGAAACACATATAAGATAATAAAAACATACATGTGTATGTATGAAATAATATCACGTTAACATATGTATATCAATTATAATAAAAATCTATTAATAAGAGATCAGAAGATTTTAAAGTAGTAATATAAGTCTCATTTAATAAAAGATTTTAGCTCAAATCAAGTTTAGAAGCAAGAATTGATAAATTTGAGAATTAATCTATTATAGAAAAATTCATAAAATAAGTTGCACTAGATATTCAGATAAGCAATTGTACTCCAATTTATTTAAATAAAATATTACTAGAAAACTATATGAGTCTACTTTCAAATAAAGTATGCTTTATATAAATTAGAGTTGTCAATTATTGTTATATTTGATACCAGTCACATATTTAAACTGCATCTATTATGACTTTAAAGGGTTATGTCGATCACCGGTTTGTTATCAAAATATTGACAAAAAATTGAAAAAAAGATAGCAATTGTTGTAGCTTTGTAGCGTTGGCAGAAGGCTGCTCGTAGCCTCGCCCGAGAGCAGAACTTACTACTCTTGGCCTTATTGAGGGTTGCATGGCCGAGTAGAGGCCTTGCGGCTAAGGATTCCTAGTTGCAAGGGGGACCCTAGCGGCTAGGGTTTCATAACTACATGGGACACTCTATAGTATGGATATTATAGAGTTTCCTAATTGGATTAAAAGTTAATCCAAGTCTAATTAATTAAATATTTAATTTATTATTACCTAGTAGTCCTTTATCTTTATGTACATATGATATATGATATGGATAGATAATCATGGGCTATGTATGATGATATGTGTATGTGATTATTATTATTGGGGCTTGCAAACCTCCTTTTCTCTCATTATATCTGACATGTAATTCTATCTCCCTCGGTGTTATACCTCTCCTCAATTAAGATCAAGGTTTCTCATCATGTGATATGTGTATTTGTTCACCTACATACTTTTAATTAAGTTATAATTACACGAGAAGGCACGATAGAAGCATGGAGATGCTAGCATGACCCATGAGGATGAGACGGATGATCATTGGGCATGGAGATGCGTCGAGGTGTAAGTAGGATCGATGAGAACGAGACGGATAATC